TTTACTATTCATTCTTATGTACTATTTCATTCATTTTATTTATTACAATTATTGAAATAAAATTCAAACATAGGAAGTAATATTTTTAGGATAAGTTAGTGAAAAAAAAAACAAAAAAAAAAAAAAATACAAAAAACAATTTAAAATAAATTTGTTTAAAATGAATTATTGATTTACTATTCATTGGATAATGTCAATTGGTTTATATACTATTCATTCTTATGTAACTATTTCATTCATTTTATTTATTACCGTTATTGAAATAAAATACAAAAATAGAACATAATAATATCTTCAGGGTATTTACCCTGAAGAAAGAAAAAAAAAAAAAAAAAGAATAATCACGTTTTACTGGTATCACGTCAGGTTAAAAGTCAAATCTTTATTGCTTGAACGTTTTCCTGTTGTAGTAGTAGTAATAGTAATAGTAGTAGTAATAGTATCATACCTAGTTGCTAATCTTCTGGACCAGAAATAGCTTCCGGTACAAATCCGTTTACGAAGAAGAGGTGTACCTGGTATATACCTCTGAGAGTACCTGTCTAGTTCCACGCCCTTTAATTATCTACGCCTTGACACACGAAGAAGTAGCTGTAAGGAATACAAAGAATAACGTTACTACCATTATGCTCATAGGAAGAAACCAGAATGAAAGAAAATACCTATTACTATATTATATTGTTCATCTTCTTTCAAAACTATTAACTCTCATTCCTCTACTTTGATCCTCTTGTCTTCGTCTTCTTCTTCTTCTTCTTCTTCTTCTTCTTTTGAGGTAATATAGAGGTCGTAGTATTTTAAACGATGAAAGTTTATTGTCCAGTTAGCAGTCGAAGTAGAAAACCCCTTTGTTCTTCAAACTACTCGAACGAACTTTTTAATCGTCTTTTCCTTTAACGATCGTTTGGTTTCTCTTTTTTCTCTTTTTCTTTTTTTTTTTTTTTATTCACAAATCCAGTGTCAGTCTTTTCGTGCTACCCTATAGATATATATGTTATTATTATGTTTTGTAATTTATATATATTTATATTAATATTACTTAATTGAATTTATATTAATTCACCTTATATATGTATATATTATTATATTTAATAATTTATATACATTACAATAATTCATATTAAATTATATACATATATATATATTAATAATTTTCTTTTTTTATAATTTTAATTTGTATTAATATTACCTAATTAAATTTATATTAATGTACCCTATATATATTATATTTTATTATTATTATAATTAATATTAATATAATATAATTTATAATATATAATTTGTAATATATTAATATATATATAATATATAATTTATAAAATAATTATAA